ATCACTGAGATTTTAAGTATTTAGTCAGTAATACTTTTCTGTAAGGGTGGGTCATGTTCCAAAACTCACTTTAGTTAACTAAAATGCTATGGTGTACGTGACGTAAACTATAGATTTTATTTTAGTTACTCAGAGTGAGTTTTGGAACATGACCCTGGATGTAGCCATACGTCTAGTAAACGGTAGATGAGGCTGCGCAGCATGGGAATTGGTAGAAAGAGAACAAAAGTTTATTTAACTTATCACTTCTATTCCCTAGCTATCATTATATTGTAGAAACAGCCAGCATTTTTAAAACATGGATGTGCTATATACACCCAGTGTGGTGTTTTAGGTTCAAGTGTATGCGTATACATGCACATTTGCGCGCGCGCATATTTTCTATATATCTATTAATACCTACAAAAAAGCAAATTGTGTACATTACACATATACACACTTAAAAAAACATTTAAAAAGTTAGATATTGATTCATATTTAATTCTCCGTTTGTATACGATTTTCTTTTGCACTTTTAGAGTGTATACGTGGGTCTATTACGCGTTTGACGCTATTTTTCTCTACCTTAAATTATTTTAAAAAATCTAAAAAAATTTATGAAACATCTGTCTACATTGTAATTGACGATTTTATTATCATTTCGATAAACATTGTTAACTTAATATTTTCTGGAAGGCTCGCAAGTTTTATAGTTATAAGCAAATATCATTTTAGCTCGGACGCCGTAGACTCACGTATACAGACACAAGTTAATAAATAACTTTTGGGATCAATTAATTTCTTTGTTTATTTGGAATACCGATTTACATTTGACGATAGATACCTGAATGTTCTTATGCTCAGCTAATAGTGCCAAAATGAAGCACAGACCCATTGCTGTAGTATCATGACCCTATAATCGTATACATTAATGTATTATGTATCGATAAATCAAATAATGAATAAGAAAGGTTATACAAAAGAAATAATATACCTCAAACATAAAAGTATCAACTTCTTCTTGAATATCCGAATCAGTCATAAGGCCATCACGAGATGCTGCTATTAGAAGATCCAACATTGCAAGTCGTTTTCTTCGTACTAAATCGAAATATGTAAACATGTCTGTATCAAATTAACAGCAAAATTCTTCTGTGACGTTTTTATTAATTTGACTATGTTTAAACTATCTATAAGTATAATATTCATGAGTTGTAAAATAAAATTTATGATATTAAACACCAACCAGATTTAAAAAATAGCTACCGATTACAATACGTACTTCCTACCAGTTCTGCGTCATCTCTGTTTGCCGACGTGTCATTATAAAAGCTTTTCAAGTATTGACCATTAGTGCGATCATGATAAAGTTTTCTTTCAGCAATTATCTATGTAAATACAACATTAATGATTCTTCCATAAATACATTAGTAATGTGTTATTAATATTTATATATTATAATTTTTTTACACGACAATCGTGGAATCTTTGTTGTAATAATTTTAAATAGATAATGTCTAAATATAATATTAAGTAGCATTTTTGCGTACTTGTTTAGTAAATCCATGTAATATCTTCAGCACCTTCTTTTGTTCTCGACCTTTAGACGTCAACGAGAATATCCAATCGATGTGCAGCCATTGCCTCATTACTCTAAATAATTAATAAATGTTAGGCATGTTACTTTAAAAAGATATTAATGTAAATTTAGAAAACATTTTTTTAAGCTTTTTATATATACTCTTACAATTATTATTATTTTAGTAACTATATAAAAAAAGAGTACATTTTAAAGTTAATCAAATTATGCTAGAGAAATATGCAAAATTTTATATAGTATAAACGTTATACTTTTTTTTAACTTTTTATTCTTAAGTTTATTTCTACTTATTTTTAAATAGATAATTTAACAGACGTGTATACCGTCGGAAAATTTTTGTAGTTTTGTTAAAAAAGGTTCTTGTTAAAATTTTTGTGCAAAATAATCAACACATACATGTGTAAGATTTAACATATGCCTGCTGTGTTAATTTACAAATTTAAAATAAAAAATTAATAAAATAATTTAAAAAATATGTTAGCCCTAGAATGGTACACTGGGTTAGCGTAACCCATAGCAATTTTAAAAGTTGCGGCTCTTCTATACTGTACGCGAAGGGGGGGGTCTGGACCAGGGGGGGGAAAAACCTTTGGAAAGCCCCCTACTATGCTGCACTCATAATCGAACCAGTGCATTGAAAACTGCCGAGTAAGAAACATCGAAAGTTAGTCTCCGGGTTACACTAACCTAGTGTACCGTTAATGTTAGTAAATCCGTAATATATTCCAATTTTGAAAAAATAATTAAATAAAATTTTGTAATAAAATGGAATTGAAAAATCAAATAAACATTTTTTCATTGATTTTATAATATTAAAGTTACCTAATAATGTACAATAACGTAAATTTCAATTCTTGCTATTTGCCATTAGAATGCTAATATCATTAGAAATTTATTATTTATCAATTTTTTACTTAAAATATTTAATATGCAATGTCAAATCACGCAAATAAATTATTTTATTCATTACCATAAAAAGTTACTAAGAGCCAAAAATTACCTACTACATTCACCATTTAAAATATTTATACTTTTTGGAAATAAATGAAAATATATTAATCCTCTTAAAGTACAACTATAGACTTTTACAATTCCAGTAGAATTAGGTCACAACTCGTTTTTTAGAAAAAGAAATATGATTAAACAACCAAAAATCTCAATTTTACTCAATTAAAAAAACTTTGTTTTAATATTTTGTAAATAGCTCCTGTGCAAAAGCTTTTTTTGCTTTCTAACGTGGATATTCAAGTTTCTGAGATTCTAAACTATCGATTAAAATAAAATTTGCTCTAAAATGTGCAGTTGATCAAAAGTTATAGTGAAAAGAAAACGGCGGGTTAACCTAACCCAAGTTTATTATCTACGTTACTTTTAGAAGTGTACCGTCTAAGGTTAAAGTAACACAATTTGAACGTATTTATTAAATGTGTTAAAATTTACAGAAAAAAAGTGTTAATTTTATCTTACAATCTTAACTTCAACATAAAAGTTATATTAATTGTACACATAATTAACCTCGATCAAATTACGATCAGAATTACATTTCCTTTCTGTTGAAATCTGTTAACATAGTATCGGTGCTACCATTTAATACATCCATATTATGTTAACTTAACAAAAAAATTTGAGTGGACCGTTTGGGACGTGTGATTAATTATGTTATATTTAACACAAATTTTCCAACAGTGTACTTTATAAATTTTTCTAATTAACGAAAGTGATGCTTTACATTAAGTATTGTATTATTATTTACCTCTTTATATAATTATAATACAATAAAAATTCATATTTTAATTAAGACAAAATATGTATAATATGCAGTAATTTATTACATCCAATAAAGCATAAATTATTATACCTATAAACAAGAAGTTCGCCCATTCGATGAACGGCTTCTCGATACTGCTGCTGAAAATCACCAAGGCCTCGTAGAGAAGTGCCCATGGCAGTTTCTGCAAACGCATTTGTAAAAATATCGTGATAATGTATTATCATATATATATATATATAGATTTCAAAGGTATCTGTGGCTGTAAAAGTTATATACGAATCAGTATTTATATGTTGTAATTTTTATACTTACAATTTAAAAAATTTGATTTTGGTCTAAATTTTATTTATCAATAAAAATAAAATTTACAGTCAAAATGTACAGTTATGAACACATCATACCACATATTGCATTCAGCGTATGCTCACTAAAAAATGGTACTAAATCTTTCATAACTGTGCCTCCTGCATTTTTCAAGGATTTGGTCATGTTTTCACCTTCCTCGATCAAAATCTGAATAAAATGCTGCAATATATTAAAATGAAATGTGGGGGTTAATATCTTTCGTCGTGAATGCCACTTGGCGCCTGAAACATAAATAACATATTGCATAATTGTGTGATAACGATGTGCAGTGAGACACATATATATTTTTTATTTAATTTAAAATTTATTGATTTTTAATAACCATTGAATGTCACAAATGTATTCTTTTTGTGATATGCGTTTAAATTTTTACGATAACACATCGTGTAATAAAACGTATAAGAAAGAAATTATTCGTAATGCGCTTATTATTTTTTATATTTAATAATACAATTATTTTTTTCATGATTGATATGAGATGTTGTAAACATATATGTAAATCTAATTACTGTGTGATATAATATATGCTTTAAATTTAATGATACAGATTTATTCTGTTATCAACATAATTGAAACTTAAAACAACATTTAATAAGAAGCCAAAGCAAAATTTAGTAAAACATGTACTATTATTTATATTAATATTGTGATGTTACCTCCACTTGTGAGAAGACCTGTACCGAACCAAGGTTGTAAATTATCATAAATAAGAGTCTTTTCGATATGTTTTGTGCTGCTTAATATTGTCTAAAATTATAGAAGATAAACGTTATTTAATTTAGACGCCATTTATGTAATCAATTAGTTGATTTCAAAAGTATTTTAAATATTAAGAGATAATCATCTTTAATTTTAAATATACAATTATTTCTGACCTTTGACGAATAAACATATTTTTTTAAAATAAAAAAACATAAAAAAATAAACATCTTACCGCCAATATATCAATAATTAAAATAAAACAGAATAAAATTTCTTTCATATTTTACCTCTAAATCATTCGGATGACGGACGGATATTGCAGGAAAAAAGATTAACCATATTTTTATAATGGGATAAAACTCGTCAGTTTTGGTACACAGTAACTTCCATTGTTCTTCTAAAAAATGTATGTATATGTTTATTATGTAAAACGGAAACATTATAAATATTGATTGAAATATGTATTATTGACTTTATCGTTATATTTAATTTATCTAGATATTCTGTTGTTCCTCAAATAACTTCAATAATCAGAAAATAAATGTTATTGCTTAAAAATATTTATAAGTTTAAATAATTCTTAAAAGTAATCAACGTGCAATAATATCAATAATTATATATCTCTGAGAAAAATGTTTGCAAATATTATATTTAAAAATTTGTATGCACAGGCGAATATTTATTTACGACCATTACGGAAATATTGTATGTGAAATTATAACTTACCTCGTGAACCAAGATATTGAAATGCATTTCCAACAATCGGATAACCTGATGGTCCTGGTATAAGATTGATAAGTCGGCCCTTTTTTCCATGATAATGCACATAATAATTAGATATCAACAAAATAAGAATAAGTAATAGCAATACTGTGGTGATCATTATTGGCCGACGAAATAATTAACCAGTTTAAGCAAACTTTGTTTTTTTCTGCTGTCTTTTTTTAATGTCTAAAAATTCAGTTGATTATAAATCAACACTTAAAAAGGAGGGAATAAATCAACAACAGCGTATTCGTTCCGACTGCCGTAACTTTTAATTAAAATAACATTTTAACGAATGTTCTGGTCTGTTATCATTTTTAATGTGATAAGATAACACGAAGACTGGTAAACAAAAATATAAAAATGTAAATCGCAATAAACTCATTAATCGCACTAGTTCTTATCACTGTATAAAATTCGAATCGAACGTACATCCTATTTCTTTAATATATAAAAATTGAGGAGTATACTGAAATAAATTACGGATTCACAAATAATAATATGTCATCGAAATAAACGTGTAAATTTTTTTCTGAATACGTGCATATATAAGTTTTGTGATGAGATGATTATGGTGTTCTATATAGAAAGTCATGTTGTAAAATTTTCACTAAGGTTATTAGTTCATTGACATGTGACATGTTATGTGACATGTTATTGTTATTTGTGTCCGTTATTTATTTCAGTTTATTTCTCGACCTTTATACTTTGAAGAAATAGGATGTGCGTCCGATGAGAAAATTACATTGCGATAAGAATTAATGCGATTAATGCAATGTATTGCGATTTATATTTTTATCCCTTTGTTTACTAGTCTTTATGTATTATCTTAACTTATGTATTATCTTAACTTATTACAATAAAGATGATCTGATAACAGACCGAAAGTATTATTTTAAATAAAAGGTATAAACACCCTGTTGTGGCACTAGGTATGCCCTTTTTTTATGAGTTAATATTTTTTTTAATTCTTAAATCACACAATTCACTAAAGATGTATCATTTACAGTTTTAATATCCTAAATAATACGTTTGGTTAGTAAATAGTACGTTAAAATACTTTATTGATACTTTATCACTAACTTTTAAATAGATATAATGTATTATTTATTTTATTAAAAAATGCGCATGTACATAACAAACATGTAAAAGTAAAAATTTATTTAATTTCTAAATATAAATGTTTTCGTTATTATGAAGTGTCACAATAAACCGAAGTTCTTATATGAAATGCTTGCGAGTGACTGATCAGTTCTGGTACTGCACAGGAAAAAAAGAAGTGTCAAATCAACACTGATATACTTGTATATACGCAAGAATATATAATCTTGAAATGAGATTATATTGCATTAAACGAAGAAAATTTGCTAAAATAAAGTTATTTATAAATTATTATTAAACAAAGTTTTATATATGGTTCAATCAAGAAAAGAAAAGTTGAAATTCTTATAAGAAGCTTATGGTAATCTTGCGTATACACGAAACAATCTACATCTTCTTATTAGAATTTCAATTTTTTATTTCAACATTTTTTTTCTTGGTTGAACTATATAATGATTTCATTCAAGCAAATTTTCTTCGTTTAACGCAATATAATTTTATTTTAAGATTATTTCTATGTTGTTGGAACTTGAAACTAAATATATTTTTAAATAAAAAATATTCTTCTTTTTCCTGTGTAATCTATTGACTATTCGTTCGCTTTTATGATGTTTTGTTTGATTATTTAAATGGCGTAAACAGTCTTAGATGATAACGATGTCTAAAATTTATGAATAAGCTTTTTATAAGATTAAAAAAAAATTGCTTATATAAGCAATATAAATAGTATTACCAATACAAGGATTATCGAAATGGTTAAAACCATTGATTTAATATCAATTATGCAAATCATATGCAACCATGTTATGCGTCCGTGATTCGGTTCCGGCCCGGTCTACGCCTGTACCTCGTTTAAGAGGTGGATTCCCTGTTCAATGGGAAGTTAAAGATTAAAGATACATATGGATTAATAATTATTCACAGCCCCACAAAAAAAATAGTATATTGTACAACTAGTGGGAAAAGTGGTCGATTCTGAATGAGTGTGAAGTTGGTCGCACGAGCAAAGCGAGTGCGACCATCACACTCATTTGAGCTCGACCACTCTTCCCACGAGTTGTTCATACTATTTTTCCTAACAAGAGCGTGAAACAGGCCGGTTTTCGCTTGTTTTACAATTTCATTTTTCCACTAGTTGAGAAATGGCTTCATTTTTCAACTAGTGGAGAAATGGATCGTTTGGTCAAAACAAGCGCGAAAAACGGCCCATTTCACGCTCGCGTTAGGAAAAAAATGTTCTGTCCGGCGGACCGGACTAGTCAATTCTTACGTATTTTGGGTCGCTGAATCCGAATCCGAGGTCAGAATTCAAAAGTTGGTTCGTGTTTTTTTCTAATCTCAAAAAACATACTTTTTTAGTACTTTTTAAGCCGTAATGAAAAAGCGCGAGCTAGTTTCGAAATTCTGACCGTGGATTCGAATTCAAAAGCTTGAATTACATAACAATTGACTAGATTTTTTAATAAAAAATGGCAGATCCAATATGGCGGACCCAATACCCAGCGGATTTTTTTTCAAATTGATTCGATTCGCTTGAAACTTGGTACTCGGGGGTTTTTGTGGTCGCTGAGTACGAATCTGATGTCAGTTTTCCAAAATTCAAAATGGCAGATTTAGTATACCCGATGAGTTTTTGAAAATTGACCAGATTCACCTAAAATTTGTTACTCGAGGGTTTTTGGGGTCGCTGAATACGAATCTGACGTTAGATCATAACATAATCACACTGAAAATGCAGTTTTTCCCACATGACTCTGAGAAAGTACAAATCTTATATATTTGACGTCCAAGACCAATATTCAAAGTATATCCATGACTTGATCCTTCTGCAACCAGGGTACCTCCACGTGGTGACGGTGGGCAACGGATTTATTCCGGCAAAATTCCTGGGTTAGATACGCTTAACGCCGTCATAGCAGAGGGTAACAATTGCAACCTTTTTACGATGCAGGGTCTCGAAAACCCAGTATCAATGACTGGTCAGGGTGGGAAAGCGGGTCCGCAGCCGTCATCATGCAACCGCAGTTCTTTAGTAGTGGAAAACTTGGCTACTACAGAATGTAATGTTACAAGAAAACTTCGTTCGCGAAAGTTGGCTTCAGGTGTAGCCAAAGAATCATATCATAACTGTGATTAGAGCAAAGATGTCTTTTGCTATGTGTGTAGCCTATATAAGGTACCAAATAACCGCCCTTACAAAAAAGTATTACTAGTTGGTTAGTAATAAATACTTATTTTGTGTATTAATAATACTAAAATTAACTATTTATTAGTACTTGAATCACTGTGATCCAAGTATTGCACAGTATTTTATTACTGGTCAGTAATTTATGAAAGTAGTATTTAATACAGAACGAGTATTGAATACTTAGTATTAAATTTCTGATAAGAAAGCATTTAATACTAGGTGATAAATACTTGTGTAATAAATACTTGTGTTGAATTACTGATGAGTATTTCAATGTTAGTACTGAAGTACTGGACCGAGGATTCCATGTGTAATAAATCACTGGCCAGTATTTTAATGTTAATACTCAAGTACTGAACGGAATATTCCATATGAAATTAATCATTGACCAGTACTACAATTTGTATAGAAACATTATAATGAGTAATTCCTGATAATATTAAGGAAGAGAGATAAAAGTAATGCACAAATACATTTTATATGAAGATCTGTACTAATTCGTCGTGATAAAAATGTACAAGTTTTAAAATAATATTGCGGATATCATTCTTATATCCAATTAAAAATTTTATTACTCTTTTTAAACTGAATTTGTTTCTTAAGATGCTTTTTGAAAAATTATATATTTGCTCTGGTTATGACACATGTAGACTATATATAACACTAACATCAAATTAAGAAGTAGTCTACCACGTAAGGCAGTTGGCTCACGATCCAGAGGTCCCGAGTTCGATCCCACCAAGGTAAGTGTGTTTTTCAAATACGAGAAAATATTTATAATTATAGACTGCATCTTAAAAAACAAATTTAGTTATAAAATAGTAATAAAATTTCGAAAAAAAAATAATTTTTTTTATGCCGGGTAAATATCGGAAATCGAAATATTGGTGAGTAATTCAATACTAAGCACCAGTAGTTCTGTGTAGTATTAAT